ATCACATAACCTGCCATTACACAATACCTATTATTAGCCACTAACAATCTCCATTAACAGCTATTCCCCGTCCTAGCTGGATCGTTATCCAGTCCTTTGTCCAACTGTTGTTCCCTCAAATTGGGCTCTGTCCCCGCCTATTGTTTACTCTTTACCCCCACCTTATCTTCTGCATATAAACCAACATTTTTCCTAGTTACCATCAGTTCTGAGGAAGCCATGATGTGGATATGCTGGTGTTGGACTGGGTGGACAACGTCAGAAATCACACTCCACCAGGTTATAGTCCAACCGGTTTATTTGAAAACACAAGCTTTCGGAGTCTGTCTCCTCCTTCCGATGTTAGAGAGGCTCCGAAAGCTTGTGTCTTCAAAGAAACCTATTGAACTATAATCTGGTGTTGTGTGATTTCTGACATTCTTCTGAGGAAGGGAAACTGGACCTGAAACATTAACTCTGATTTCTCTTCATAGATGCCGCCAGACCTGCACAGCATTTCCAGCAAACTGTTTGCTTTTATTTTTTCCCGGTTGTGTCCAGGTCTCATGCTGGCAGAGTTGATTTTTTTGAGAAAGTTAATTGTGTGCTTGTGACAGCAAGACAAGTTACATCATTAATATTACAAAATAAGTAAGGAGTGATTTGCAACGCATGCCACTGTCAGAGGACTGCATGCAGCAGAAGCATAAATTAGAGAATGTTACAATTCTTTCAAACATAATCGATAACGCAAAGTAATGGAATCATCCTTAAAACCTAATCCTGGACTTTATAAGATGTTCTGATTTTTTTTTTGTTGATTTTTGCTTATCTTTGCCCATGCTATGATTTTAGGCTTTGACTTTTTTTCACCTTCACAGGCAAAATTTAAAAGTTAGGTATTTTGAAGTCTTGTATTTTAAAGCGAACTGAAATCATGCAAAGTTTTTTTTTAAAAAAAGCTTTAGGCAGTAGACATGTGCATTGAAGCTAGAAAAGCCAGTTTGCGAAACGTCACAAACTCTGTCTACTTTGAATGCAAATAGCAGAATCAAATGTTGTATACATTACCCATTAAGCCAGGATGGCCCCAAACTATTTTAAGATATGGCTTCTTCAGACCCACATGACAGTCCGAAGGGGAAATAGTGTTTTTTTATTGACGGGTCCATCATTAAATCATTGAATAAAGAAGCAGCCAGAGGCGATAGGTTTTGCTGGATGACTCTGAAAAGTGACTTCTGTCATGCAGCTGCCTCTTAAAAGCATTTTTAAGGTGAGAAAATTTGACATTGTTATAACTATTAGAAATGTTAGAAATGATAAACTCCATTTGTAGTGACTGCATGCTTGCTGTAGTAGCTTTTTTTCATTTAAATTGGTCATGTTTCTAATATAAATACCAAAAAATGCGCAGCTGGGAATGTGAAACAAAAACATAATGCAACAGGTCAGGCACCATCTGTGAAGCACTCAGTGTGTGGACCCTGATGGAGGTTCACTTCCGATACATAACTTTTCCAAGCTGTCTTGCTGACTGGGGCTGACCAGTCTGTTTGCACCTTTATTCTCTCATACTTAATGATACTAATATAGTTTCATCTTCATCTTAGATATAAAACTTTCTCTCAAAGCCTGCCCAGTAACTGCAATAATGGAGTTTAAAGCATTGTCACATTTAAAAATTAATGAGCTGCAATAAAATATTTAGTGAATTCGTCATTTCACCTGATGAAGTAGCAACGCTCCGAAAGCTTGTGATTTCAAGTATATCTGTTGGACTATAACCTGGTGTCATGTGACTTCTGACTTTGCCCACCCCAGTCCAATACCAGCACCTCCACAGAATGACATGAAGAGCAGAGTTGAAATTTCTTTCTTTCTTTCTCGCTTGAAGGCGCTAATGTTTTTCTTCCTTTCTTGGAATATGGGTGTCACTGGCTAGGGCAGCATTTGTTGTTCATTCTTAGTTACCCTTGAACTGAGTGGCTTGCTTGAACATTTCAAAGGATGGTTACGAGTCAACAATGGATGTGGGTCTGGTGTCACGTAGAGCAGGCATTGCTGGCTCATTTCCTTCCTTGAAACATGGTGGTGAACCGGATGGGTTTTTACAGCAATCAGTTCGGGTAACGTGCTGGAAATCAAGTCCTGGTATTCCTAGAGTTGTCACAGAAATTAAAGATCTTAAAAAGTACATTGAGCACCCCAATTTATGTGTCTTTTAGATCCAGGTTGACAAAGAACAGGCCAGTTTCTTCACTTAACAAAAATTACTATTTATTTACAAGTAACTCGACTTTAACTACAGGTCAACAATTATGAACTGTCTGCATGTAACTACTAATTAGTTCTTGAATCCTCTTATAAACTTCCCTTTTACTTATAACCGCGCGCCCACGCAGATGCAGACAGGGAAAATTCGTGGGCCTAATGATTGGAGGGAATGACTCAGACTGTTCTAGTTTCTGTTCAGAGGGTTGCTGGATGATTCTTATGATTCTTGTGCTGATTAGAACACTGTTTCAGAGTCTTCCTTCTCCAGAGATTTTCATTGGTTTGCAAGAGGCACAGGAAACTGCTGAAGGACAAAATAGTTATCTTTATTTTATAATAACTTTTACTGCAGAGATCAGAGAGAGTTTCTCTGAGCTGGTTGAAGTTTGTAGGCTTCTCTCTGTCTTGTTCACAGTCACAAGCTGCTCAGTGAAGTGAGTGTCATCGATAACTGGTCTCTTGTCCATAGACCAGTCAGCTAGCTGTTGCCAGCCAAAACTCCATTTTTACGCAGTCTCTGGGACCCAACTCATCTATGGCTATGCTTCAATTACTGCTTGAATGAGTAGCAATGATGTTTGCCATGAGTCAGGGTATTTGCTTCTAAAACATACAGCAATTCTTCAAAATCCTTGATTTTAAAACAGTTCTTTTCTCATTTCCCTTACAATTAAAAGTGCAGAAAAAAACTGGTTTTTATCAAGACCAGCTTTCAATTCAAGTTTTATTAATTGAATTTACATTTCACCAGCTGGTAGGAGATGAACTTGTGTCACCAGAGGATTTCCTGGACTTCTAGATTGCTTGTTCGGTGCACTGTCATTACCGCAATGTCGTCATCTTCCCTAAACAGTCACTACATATTCCATTTGTGCCAGTCATTCAGTTAGTGGGTATTCTTCTTATACAAAGCTTAATAGTGAGTGTATGTCATCTCAGCAAAGCATTACATAATTCATATATGTGTAATTTCCAGCAGGGGTGATTGAGTCTGGATACAAAAAGGAAATGTTGGCTGGTTTTCCCTCCTATCAAGTCAATCACAATGTTCCTACTACTGAGACTAACTAACCCAGTTTCCAACCAAGGGGTGGCATCTTCGGAACTTGCAGGCAGTTGAAAGTATTGATGCTTCAGCAGCTTTGCAAACTGATCCCAAGACAGTGCAACGGTATGATTAAAGATCCATCTGTTTGTCCCCCAAAATACTTGCTGTTTGTTTAGCTCTTTAAACAAGGTAAAGCACTTCGTGGAAAAATTTTAAGGCAAGAGGAATGCGGGTTTGTTATAATTTTGGCAACTATTTGTTTTAAATGAAGAAATCAGGCAACCATGCCCAGCAATCGGGTACTGGGCTCTGAATTACAGAGGAACAGGTTTAAATTACAGCCTTGGCTGTCCTTTGAACATGCCTGCTTGGTGAAGCTTCTGCATTGTCAGACTGAGACTAGTGCTACCACCAGAGGGTAAGAAGCATCACTTGCCTTGTAGCAAATATGCCTTTTGTTGTCTGTGTTTTGATTGATAGCAGTTCTCACTCTGTGCCAACTGCATGGACTTGTTTTTGTGGCTGTTTGCATCTGAGATTTCGTAAAGATCAGCTGTAAGTTAACTTTATAGCTGAAGTATTCGTAGGCTTTCGAGTCTGGACTCACTTTGTTTTTCTAATTGTGTATGAGGAGGACATACTGTTACCAGCCCTGTTTAGTTACAGAATCTTGATGTTTCAGCACAGAAACAGGCAAATAACAATGTTGTGTTGTTGGTGGTTCAGCTGTGTTGGGCTCTTATGTGCAGAGAATGCTAAGTGCATGGTTTGGATCATGGAGTTCAGTAACAAGAAGATCACTGGTCCTGTCTCAGCCTTTGTCAGAAACACTTGCGTATAGGTTTTTTACTGTGTTGCTCACTTAACGTAACTCCTGTCAGTGATGTGTTATGAAAATCAATGAGTTCTTAAAAGAATAAAAATCTTGTTTTATGCAATGTAATGGCTGCAAAAGATTATTGTCAAACTGGTTTTGCAGTATGTCATTTTATTACCTTTGCTCTGATTTCTTTTGTTGCTGAAGATAAAGTCCTCTTGCAAGTTGCAAATATAAACATACATTTTGTTCTTTCATGAAAGCAAAGTTGAAGTTTGGACTTAGATATTCAAACTCCTTCTCCTCCACTCTTGCCAATTAAAAAAAAGCACTAAGAAACAATTACAAAGTGTGGCAACAAAAACTGTACAGCAACAAAGTTCACTTGCTAATGATGCCAGTCAATGGTGTCTTTTGAAAGGCGAACAGTGAATGCGATTGCTGAGACATGCACAGTGAAAGCTGTTTTCAGTGGAAATGTGAAAATAATTATTCCAACTTCATTTTACATATAATTTTGTATTTGCAAGAGCAGAGTAAGTCTGTGTAGCTGTTGTTCTGCTGGCTTTAAATGCAATGAAAAGCCTGATATGCACTGCTTTTCACAAGTATTGACTGATGTAAACTCACTGGTATGGATACACCAACGTAAGTTTCTTCATCTATAAAGTACGACTACATTGACTTGATTTCGCCAGTCTTTCTTCTGTACAAATATGGAGTTGGTAACATTAAATGCTCCCAGTTTCATAAAATATGTTTGTCTTCATTATATGGCACTTGCTAAGCTTGAATTGGAGAAGAGGGAGAAAAGTTTTTTTGGGTGTATTAAATTATGGAAGTTGCACTATATGACCAATGTTTTCTTTCTTTCAACAGAGTATTGGGAAAGGATCCTTATGGTGTATAGACCCAGAATACAGACAAAACCTCATTCAGGCTTTGAAAAAGACACCCTACCATCCGTACTCTCATGTTTTTAATACGCCTCCCACTTCCCCACGAGGATATCAAAGGTAAGCATGTGTACTGTTGCATTTACTCAGTCGTCATTTATCTGTGTTAATGATGGTGATTTGGACGTGTATTGCTTCAGAAGTGGAACAGGAGGGGTGGAGACCGAAAATGTCTGTTTATGCCTATGTCGTTGTGTAAGTAAGAAATCAGAGGTTGAAGCTTCCCTGTGGTGATATTGAGTTTCATTCAGCAGCTATGTGGAGCTGTGAGGGGAGAGGTGTACTGTCTTGTTACAGAGTTAAGTCACATTCCAGCACATGCCTCGACCATCAATTGTCAAAAGAGAGATTGGGAGGAACAGCTGGGCTGAGAAGGAAACTGCCATACATCTGCCTCGCTAGGTGATTAGCATGATGGTAGCCATGGAAGCCGGAATGTTGCCATAGCAGCACATAGCTGAGACAGGTGCAATTGCATCACGAGTTCTATTTTGTTGCCTGGCAAATGGACAGGCTGTTAGCATGTGGAATTACACAGTTGCCTTGACAACACTTTCTCCAAAGTGGCTCCAGTTGGCTTCCAGCCTCTCTTCTTTGTTGCAAGTGTGTATGTTTTGTACCTGCTTTATTTCCCCCCTCCTGTCTTCATAAATATCCACAGAAGCGTACTTGATCTGAGAAGACAACTCGAGGTCAGCTAGCTCTAGGAGATTAAAACAAAATGGGACTCAGTGAAGCAACAGAGTAATCTAGGGAAGAAAAAAATCTTGTAAAACCAGAGTGCCTGTGATGTACGTATAGTCAAGCCCTAACCATCGAATACAAAAGGTCCTTGTGGTATATTGCCTTTGACATTGCAGGTTTTTATGTTTCTCTTAAGCAGTGGAAGCATTAATCTTCCCTTCTTAACAATTTTTCTCTGCAAGTAAACGTGCATATCTTAAAATCTTAAAACCTTTGGAATGTTGGGAGCTTAAATGCAGTAGAAATAATTTTTTTACGGCATGAACTTGCCTCCCATAATTAATGAACTGAAGTGGGGGACACCAGGGAGGAGGGAAATATATCACAAAGGATTCTAAATACTGTTCTTTAGGGTGTCAGTTCGCAGCAAATTGGCGTATTTATAAATAAGCCCACATTTGAGTACCCTATCTTGTGCGTGCATTTGATTGGAGAAGTGTGAACAGTGAATCTGTGCATCTGTAGCCTGCTTAGAGTGGCAGTAGTAAAGCGGCTGGCAACCCTTTTTAACTGCTGTGGCCATTTTTGTTTATTTCCAACCTGATTTTAGTCTCTCAAAATGGTGTGGACCACTTGAAGTCAGCTGAAGTTTTATATCTTTAATGACTTGTTTGCAGTGTTGTAGACTGCAACAGTAAACATTGTTAGATATTCAGGGAAATTTTTTCCAATACTGCGCTTGGGAAGGATGACATCTTTGGAATTGATGTTAACTCCTGTACTTAACTGTTGTAGTGCTGTGAAACTTCACTCTCCTCATTGAGTATGCCATGTGGTGAGGAAATTTCCTCCATGTGCAAATGTACTGGTTTACCAAAAGGCTGCTGTGGTTCAAAAGTTGTGTGTGTATCCAATTTGTGCTTTTTTTAATCGTAGAATCCTTACAGTGTGGAAACAGGCCATTCAGCCTATCAAATCCACACCAACCCTTTGAAAAGCATCCCACCCAGACCCACCCTCATACCCTATCTCCGTATTCCACATTTTCCATGGCTAATCCACCTAGCTTGCACATCCCTGGACCCTATGGGCAATTTAGCACGGCAATCCACCTAACCTGCACATCTTTGGACTGTAGGAGGAGCCTAGAGCACCCGGAGGAAACCCACACAGACATGGGGACAAAGTGCAAACTCCACACGTAGTTGCCCAAGGCTGGAATTAAACCTGGGTCCCTGGCATTGTGAGGCACTGAGTCACCGTGCCACCCAGAAATGTTTGTCTGTTCTGGATTTCTATCCTGGACTAGTCGGTCCATCGTGTCTGCACCGACCCTCCGAATAGCATCCCATACAGACCCAGACTCGCTTGATCCCCATAATCTTGCATTTACCATGGCTAATCTACCTAACCTGCATGCTAAGGGCAAGTTAGCATGGCAAATCCACCAAACCTGCACATCTTTAGACAGTGAGAGGAAACCAGAGCGTCCAACAGAAACCCACGCAGACACGGAGAACGTGCAAACTCCACACAGACAGAATCAAACCCAAGCCTCTTTCACTGTGAGGCAGCAGTGTTAACCACTGAGCCACCGTGCTGGATGTAATGAGATCAATCAGAACTATTCTGTTGTTATTTTGAGTAATTGGTTCAGCCCTATAGAACCACTGTTCTGTGGTTATGGTGTGCAGTCCCATCCATGCTCGTTACTTAAGATGGTTTATTTATATGATACGTCTCTAAATTGAACAGTGACTGCTCAGCATTGAAAGTAGTTGGGATTATAGAAACACACAGCACAGAGACCATTCAACCCATCATGCTTTTGCTGGCTCTTTTGAAGAGTGCACGTGCTTAGTCCCACATCACTGTTCTTGCCTTTAACCTTTTAAATGTCTCAAATACCTGTCCAACTTCCTTTTTAAAATTTTCTATGGAATAAACGTCTACCACTTTTTTGAGTGGGGTGTTCCAAATTCCTACAACACAACAGAAAAAATTCTCTCTCTGTCCTCTAGATGTTCTTGCCAATGATTTTAAAATCTCTGAAGTAGTTATTACTCTAGAATTCTAATTTCAACGGCAGAATCACTGCAGCTGTAAATTTATGTAGATAAAAACCCTTCTATGAGCATTTTAACTTCATTCTCAGTGATAAAATACAAAATCTAGTGCAAAACTGGTTTCGTGCCCACGGTTGTCCATGCTGTGAATGTTTAATCTCCATTTTAGTGTATTATTTTAAGGGAGTTGGGGCAGAGATATGGTACTATTCTGCATAGAATTGTCACAATGCAGGTGACCATTCTGCCCACCTAGTTAATGCCAGCTTTCTGCAGTAGTAATTTGGCTAGTCCCACTCTACTACCCTTTTTCAGTAACTTGGAAAATTATTTCCCGTCCATATACTTAACTGATTGATTAACTTTGAAAATACAATTGAATCTGCCTATGTGACTCTCTCAGGAGTGAGTTCCAGATTCTAACCACTGATTGCATAGACATTTGCCCTCCTATCACTGTTGGTGCTGTCCTGATCACTGTACGTTTATGTTTGCAGGTTCCTTATCCTTCCTCTTTTCTCTCTACTCTGTCTAGATCCCTTGGAACTTTGGACCCTTTTGTTAAGTACGCTGTCCACCTTTATTTCTTTCTCCAATTTATCCCATGTAACTGAAGTCCCTCATCCATTCTTCACCTTCCTAGATGTTTTTACGGCCTTTCTAAAGTGTGGTACTTGGAATTGTACAAAATACTCCAGTTGAGGCCGTAACAATATTTTATATAAGTTCATCATAGCTTCTTTTTTTTAGTTCTGACTACTTCTGTTTATAAAGTGCTGAGTTGTCTACGCCTTTTTATCCACTTCTGTGTACCCTGTCAACAATTTATGTACACACACCTCCAAGCTTTTTCATTTCTACAAACCTGTTAGATTTACACTCTTTAGTTTGTGTTTCCCCACTCTTGTTCTTCCTGACAAGATGTATAACTTCAAAATTTAACACAGAAGTGTCATCTGCCAGTTGTCTGCTTGTTCCATCAGCCTGTCTATCCCTCTGAACTTTATCCCTAGTTGCTAGTTCCCAGTATTTTCAACTTTCGGTATCTGCTAATTTCTCTCTGAGCACCCAAGTCTATGTCATTAGTATGTATATGTCAAGAAAAAATGTAGAACCAGTTCGCACTCTTGGGAGGCCGACAGTGTGCTTTTATCTAGTCCAAACAACTAATTTGGCTTTCGGTTACCAGACAACTTTGTTTTTATGCTGCACATGTTCCTTTTATTCCACAGGCTCTCACTTAATGACCATGGATCCGTCACATTTTACCAAATACCTTTTGGATGTCCAAGTGCACCACTCTGATCTTGTGGTGTAGTGCTCACTATCTCTGAGCCAGGAGACCAGGTTTAAGTCCCACCTTGCTCCAGAGGTGTATAATAACATTTCTGGACAGTTTAGTTCAAAAATATCTACATCCAATGCATGACCCTACTGAAGTCCTTTGATTCCATGTACTTCAGCATATTGATTTGAAGATCATCTTCGCCTTCAGATGCCTACACCACAGAAATGGGGAAGAAAGGTTACAATCTGTCACACAATAAATAACATCCAAACATTTTAACTCTTGAGACCGTCTAAAGAGTTTTAACTCTCTGCAATCAAGTGAGGTTGAGGTGGTTAGGATTATATTCACTGGCGGTTCATAAGAATAAGGGGGGATTTTGTAGAAACCTATAAAAATTTCATCAGGACAAGATGGTAGATGCTGGAAGGATGTTCCCGATGGCGTGGGAGTCCAGAACCAGAGATTATAGTCTAATGAAACTGGGTGGACCATTTAGGACTGAGATGAGGAGAAATTTCTTCTCTGCCACAGAAAGCAGTTGAGGCCAAAATATTAATATTTTCAAGAAGGAGTTGGATATAGTTTTTAGGACTAAAGGGATCAAAAGGTGTGGGGAGAAGGCAAGAACAGGGTACCGAGTTGGATGATCAGTCATGATCATACTGAATGGCAGAGCTGGCTCGAAGACCCAAATGGCCTACTCCTAATTTCTAAAACATAGAACTGCAGATGCTGGAGTCAAAGACAACACAGTGTGGAGCTGGAGGAACACAGCAGGTCAGGCGTCTTCAGAGGAGGAGGAAAGTCAACGTTTCGGGTTGGGACTCTTCTTTGGAACAGGGGATAGGGAAGGGAGCTCGGAAATAAGTAGTGGGAGGAGGGGCGGCGATGGCGAAAAGGTAGGTGGGATGGTGATACATGGTAAATGAGCTTCAAGGCGGAGGCCCTATCACCAATCACCAACCCACCTACCTTTCTCCAGCACCACCCATCCTCCCCTCGCCTCCTTGACCTGACACAACTTGTCCATCTTCTTTTCCACCTATCCGCCCCACCCTTCCCACTGACCAATCCCCACCATCACCTATCACCATTCCACCTATCTTTCCCCAGCCTCACCCCTCCTTCCTGATGAAGTGCTGACTTTTAAAATTAAAATTTTAAATTTTAGGTTTTACAATGAATCTGGCTTGCATGAACATTATTTTGTTTCCAGAATGACTGGAGTAATTTTGGACATTTTCTTGGTGGGTTTTTCAAGTCTTTGAATGGGTTAAATTTGCTGTATGAATAGAAATTAGTTTAATCAGGGCCCAAAATAAAAGGGTTAGCTTTATACATAATCAGCACAAGGCTTTACTTGACAGTTAATTTTGAATTGGTGCTTTCACGTGTACATATTATAAATAATTAATTGTCACATCCTCCCTAACTTTCTGTAGTCAAACATTCTTCTGCATTGCATTTATTGAATACTGAAAATTCTGAAGGGATTTGAGGATGAGTGTCTAATTCCGTGAAGAGTGCAGTTAATTCAATGTCAACTTCTGCTTGCAACAACTCGGGCCAAAGTTTTCTGCTTCTGCTTTAGCTGTGCCATGATATTCTCCCATTGATTTTAATAACTGGTAGATGATGGATTGGCAACTGTTGAAAATAAAATTGACCTCCTGAGTTCAATCTCCCTGCTTGTTGCTTGGCCATTATGGTGCTTCTGGGTTATCCCCACAATAATGAGAATGAGACCTGGGACTTTGGTTTTGTCAAAAAGACAACATACTTTCTCCAAGGTTAAGGAAACATGGGGATAATTCTGCATTCTTCAGAATAGTGTACAGTACTCTATTGGCCTTTAAAACCCTTAATTTTTCACTGTTAATATGTATTTATCAAAGCTTGTTTCGAATGTGTTTTTATCTGTGGTCCTTTTTCAGGACGAGATTTGTTCTTGACCTCAGTCAGAATCTGTACAGGACTAATTAATTCACAGATGATTTCCTGACCAATTGTTTTAAGTGTTTCGAAGGGCACTGTAAATCCAATGTTAATTAACATCTTTATGTAATGGTCAGATAATTGTAAAATTATTGTGCTTGCATTAATGACTGAACTGTATCTGTGTGAAGTTGGCTATAATCTTTCAAAATTAGAAATGTAGAAAATAGAAGCAGTAGGGTATTTTGACTCGCTTGACCATTCAACTTGATTATAGCTGATCCTCTATATCATTGCTATACTCCCATACTCTTGCCATACCTTTTGACACAGATTTCTAGATGTTAGAAGGTATATTTATTTCTTAAATATGTTCAAGTGATTTTGCCACAACAGCCTTTTTTTCACAGAGCGTTCCACAGATTCATCACCCTCTGCATGAAGAAATTTCTTCTCATCTCAGGCCAAAATGTCTTGCTGTGAATCCTGAGACCATGACCCCTTGTCCTGGACTCCCTGGCAAGAGGAAACCACAGACATGCATCCAGTATGTCCAGCCCTGCGAGAAGTTTCAATGAGATTTCCTTCTTGTCTTCTAAACGCCACTGAATACAGGCCCAATTGACCAACTCTCCGCATAGAACAAACCTATCCTCCCAGGAATCAGTCCGGCAGACTTTCACTGCACTCCCACAATGGCAACTATATCCTTTCTTCGACAAGGAGATTGGAACTGCATACTACTACCAAATGTGGTCTCGCCAAAGCCCTGTTCAAAGTTTTTGCTCCTGTGCTCATATTTATTCCTACTTCTGTCACTTGTTAGTAAGTTCTACATATGAATGAAAAGTGAGTGTTTTTTGCTATTTAAATTCTAGTCATCTCCCTTAACTGTTTGTTCAAAAGTACTTTGTTGGTGTTTAACTATGTTAATATTTCATGAAGCCATTTTGCATAACAGTCACCAAGCAATCTAATCAGAAATTTAGAGAAATCATTTTGACTCAAACAGTGTCGAGAATGTAGAACTCACTATCACAGGAAGTTTTGAAATGACTTGTGTATTTAAAGGTAGACTAGGTAAGTATTTGAGGGAGAAAGAAATTGAGGAAAGTAAATGATGGATTTAAATGAGGAAAGATGGAAGGAGGCTTGAATGGAGCACAAATGCTTGCATTGGCTGGTTAGATTGAATAGCTTGTTTCTGAGTTGGATATCTTAGGCAATGTAGGTATGCATTCATGTTGTCTGAAACTATCATACAATAAAAGTGCATTCAGATATGGTTTTGAAAAATATTCTCATGCATGCTCTTTCACACAAACACATTCACACTTGGATATTCCTTACCACACTGTACTTCACCATACATAAATTTGTTGACTGCATTCACCATCATTCATTTCCATCATGCATGGTAACCACAATCCCTTTTTTAATGAACATTTAAATTTGTTTACCTTTTAGAGTTGTCAATCAACAACAGTGTGGGAGTAACTAAACTCGGGCTTCAACCTGACGGCAGCCTGCAATCTCAGTAACTTGAAATTGAATGATGGTTCTTATGCAGCAATCATCACTGGTTTAGATTTCAGTCATTATGAAGAACTCTAAATTAATTCTGAACTATATATTTTGAAGAGTAGAATTGTATCGGCTAATTTGCACAGCAGTAATGCTTTTCATTGAGAATCATAAGTAAATGGATCTGTTTAATTGGGAATCATTACGGCAAGTGTTGGAAAATACAGCACAGGAGCATTGCAGTCAACAACCCTTGTTAAAATGAGTCGGCATATGCTTAGCTCATTAGGAAAGAAGGAAAAAATGTCAGTGTACCTCTAACACCCTTGGGATCAATAGTTGAACTTTTACAAAGCCCACTTATTACCATGGAAGTTTTTTGAAATCCCACAAACAAGAGAACTGTTACTTTTGTTTTGATTTTTTTTTTAGCAAGTGTTTCAAATATTAACTTGAACCTACAGTTATTTCATGTTAACTTTGTGCTTGAAGATGTCTGTATGTCAGTGAATTAAATCACCATTACAAAAGCTCGTCTTTCAGGGAGTATTAAGGGAATCAAGTGCTGAGTGCACCCATAAATTAAATAACTGGGAGGATTGGATGTGAAAGTGAACAGTTTGGTTATTTGAGAGAGTATTTTCTTCATCTTGCTTATCTTATGGCTTTTTTATTTGAGCATGTTGGTTTATTTTCACTGATCTTAATATCCCATGTTTCCTTTTAGTTAATTTGTTTTGCAGTCCTTCACTCCATTCAGTCGCACAAGTCTTCAGATTAATATGTATTTGTGTGTGCACACCAGTAAGGAAGTGTAAGGAAATAACACTTGGGGAAAAAAAAACTTTGGGAAAGTTGCAACTTATTCTTTAAATGCCATGCTGCAATGTTGGTTGTCTATAAATTGGATGTCTATAAATTGGTTGACTATCTGATCCAAATGACAAAATAAGTCATTTGGATGAGATGGTCAACCAATTTATAGACTGTAAAAGATCCCGGTGCACAATTTTTGGAAAAACAGAGCTGTTTTTATTATCAAGTATTTTTAAAACATATCTTGAATCCTTGATACTGTTCATGGAAAGTCCATTGTTATGTTTTGTTATTAGGCCAACCACATCATACCAATTAAAGCACAAATGTATTTTTCTGTAATGAAAGTGAAAGCATGTGTCCTGAGAATGTTAATTGATAAATAATTTAATAGCAGCTCATTTCATGTGCATTGGTATATTCTGTTATTGGGCATTTCATCTTTACTACCAAAATAACTGTATTTTGTTTCTTTATATGTGGGCATGAGGTATAGAATTGCATTACTGTACAAATCCTTCAGCAAGTGTAACGTTTTAACAAATGGATGAATATCCAATGTGATTGAAACATTATGATGACCGCCATTTTCATATGCAGTGATTGAATAAATGCAATCATACATATAAACATATTAATTAGGATAACAAATGTGTCATCAGGACCTTCGAACTTGCTCCACCATCTAATAGGAGCATAGCTGATGTTTTTCTGTTCCAGTTCCACTTTCCTATCTACCAGAAAATCTTAGCTTCTGGTTAGGCAAGAGATTCAAACTAACTGTCTTAATAATGTCTAATGACCCCTGCCTCCTGAGGCAGAATCGCACAAATCTGCGAGAAAACATTTCCTCTCATCTCTGCCCCAAAAGGGCAAGCCCTAATTTTACAGTAGTGTTCCCTAGATCTGGACTCCAGGGCAAACATCCTTTTCGTATCCCCCTTGTCAATACCATTCAAATTATTTAAAAACTAATCAAATCAACCCAAATTCATCTAACATCCAGTGAAAACCAGCCGAATCTATCTGATCTTTCTTCATTAGACAACCTACTCGTTCCAGATATCAATGAAATTATCATTCACTAAACCCCCTCAAATACATTTTCATCTTTCTTTAAATAAGGATACCAAGTTGTGCACAGTATTTTGGGTGTGGTCTTAACAATGCCCTGCATAACTGAACCATAGCCACCTTACTTTTATACTCAAATCCTCCTTTTAATAAAGGATATTATTTCCTGCTTGGGGACCCCGCAGCCCTCTGGACTCAATATAAAGTTCAATA